TAGAATGTCTTGACCTTTATATTTCTGAAAAAATTTCTTTTATACGTGCACAACGCGAAGTTTTAGACACTGAATATATTAAATTGCAGGTGGAGTGTGAAGACCTAGAAAAAATATCCAAAAGTAGCATGGGGACTCATGAGAGGTCTCTTAATAAGGCCCTTGAAGATATGAAGGTTGAGCGACAAGCGTACCACGGTAATGTGTTCGTAGGTAATCATTGCAAAATAGTCTTAAGAAACCACTATAAACTTTGTGGTGTTATTGATGATGAAGCTATTAAAAATAGATTTGTACGTGTGTTTAGTGTTTTTAATAAGTTGCAACCTATTCTATTTAAGCGAAAATTTCTTTCAGATGCCGAAATTACTGAGCTTCATCAATATATAAATTTATTTGCTATCGAATTTCATGATTGCTTTCCAAAAGAAAGTATCACGCGAAAAATGCATGAACTCATTTTTAATGTGCCACTATTTGTAAAATTGCATAAAACTATTGGGTTGCTGAGTGAAGAGGAGGGAGAGTGTTTGCATAATAGCGTAAATAAGGAATTAAGACAGTTGCATTCAGTAAGAAATCAGGAGCAAAAGCTGCATCTTGTTTTAAAACGCTTTGAATTGCACAGCAAAGCTGATAGGAAGCTTCAAGCCTCTAAGGTGAGAAAGTGTGTTGTGTGTTCTGAGCGTGGCGAAAATTCATTTTATAGACAAGGTCTTTGTCTTGTTTGTGGTCATCAAATTTAGTTAAAATATTTAAAAAATTAAAAACAACAACAACAAAAAAAAATTAAAAAGTAAGATAAATTATATGAGATCTTTAATTTGTATATAAGATAATTTTATTTTGTTCTAATATCTGTGTGATGTTAGTTTAAAATATTATTTTTTAATATATTGATTTTATATATTAGGTAGGTGCCTATTCTGTTCCTAGCTTCAGAAGTTATTTATACCTATGCATTACCTTCGCTCAGGTTAAAGAATGGAATACTAGTCTTGCATCAAATGTATGTAAAAATCTAGCTTTTATATATTAACTTGTGATCAGAGCAACTGGTATGTTGGTTGGGTATGATCTGTTATGTTTGTGTATTTAATTTAAAAGATGTATTGTTCTTCATTATATGTAACATTTTTTTATAGATATATTACATATCCATTCGATGTTTATCACCAGAAGTTAGTTCTACCTTTGCAGTACCTCTGCTTTACATACCTCCTCGCTGGTTAAAGAATGGAATATAAATCTCATATCAAGTTGGTGTAAAAATTTAGTTCAATAAATTAAGAATTTATAAACGTTCTCAAAATTTTGAGTGGAGCAATTGTTTTTCTGGTTTAGCATGAGTATGAATCTGATATCAATTGTATGTACAAAGATAGTTTACTTCTTAAAGAACCTATCAGTAAACCAACTGATTATAAAACAGTTTTTAATGGGAATAAAAACAAATTTTCAAAAGATTTCAATTAGCTATTTGTATATTCAAACACTTTATTTACTGAGAGAAGAGACTATAGATTCAAGTGCTATAAAATAATTCTACTACCAAAAGCGAGGTTAATTCAAAAACTGAAACTCAAATTTGGTCATGAATTATTTTATTAGACTTGGTGAGTCTTTATTTATTAACAACTTAATACCATATTATTAAAACTGTATGCACAGAAAAAAATAAATGCTTTAGCTTTAAATGTTTTGACTAAATATTCCAAAATCGAAATCTGGCTTTTTATTGCAATGCAATGAACTTATTGGCTTAGGATAATAAGTTTCTAAAACAAGAACTTCTAGGTTTAAAAATGTACTCTTTTAACAGCTAATCCCCCTTTTAACTACATTTTTCCTAACTTTGCGAAAAGTGCGGTTTGCTTTCAGACCTCATTAAAGTCTGTTTTAGCTATCCTTAAACAATTAAGTAAGGTTTTTTTGTTTTTATAATAGTCAAACAATGGGTATATTTGAGATTAACTATCAGAAATAAATTTTTCTGATTTTTTTTTTGATAAAAAGTAACATCAAATTACTTGAATTCAGCCAACGTCATCATTTGTCGCGTTTTTTTTAAACTTAAAGAAATTTTTTTACTAATGCATTAAATGTCATAAGATGAAACATTTTATTGGTGTTATTATTCTTTTTACAAAACAAAATTATCTTGATTATTTTAAAAGTTATAGAAGTTTTAGTAACACCCTTTTAGTCAATATTTTCAAAAAATAACAAGAAGCCGTTAAGCTTGGTTTGAAACAGCCGTGGAATATGAATGTTACAAGATCTTGTTATGTACGTTACTTTAAGTTCCTATAAATATTTTTTATCTAATCAATTTCATATTTATTAGTAATCTAATATTTAGATTCCAATAACCTATTTCTTCTGGCAATAACACAGCATTTAACTGATTGTTTACTATCTGGAAAATTACAACTTTGGAACTGCAATGTCTAAAAACGCGCCTCCTTCAGAGAAGAATTAGGAGATTTGGTCTTTGAATCAAATTCAACTTCAAAAGTGCAGAAAATCAAGAAAGTATACTACCATTGACAGTCTTGATCAGATGCGAAGAATTCCAATGGAGCAGAAAATCTTCGACAGATTTAAAACTCTGGCTTCTGATGTAAAATGTAGAAAAGAGCGAATTGTAATGATAGCAGATGAAGTGAAAGGCCTATAGAATAATTTGAATCTACCAATTCAACAAGGCAGATCTTCGGTTGCACGAAAAGTTGAGTATGCAATAAAAACTTACGAAAAGCATGCTCGAAGACCTGGAAACAATGATTTTAGTAAATTGTTTAATAAAGGAGAATGTTTGTGCAGAAAAGACAGGGAGTTTTATGAACTGCAGGTTTCAAGGGAAAGTAGGATATTGCACCACAAAAGAAGACACACAGTGTATACATCCATGAAAAGTGAAGATGCTTAAAAGAAGAGTGTCAGTCATATAAGAGTCTATTGAAGAAAGTAGTGAAGAAGATTCGGAAACAGTTACAGAAACAGAAAAATCTATGAGTGAAGGACAAAGTTATAGTAGCAATGAAGATTATGCAAAAAAATTCTTCCAGTAAAAGGCAAAGAACTGATTCTGCAATACGTTTGGTAACTGCAACAAAACTGAGTAAAAGGAAGGCCCACAAAGTATGTGAAAATTTGTCTAAAAGCGGAGCTTCCATACTTATTCCAACTCAGAGTGGCGTCTACAAAGCAGTAATAAAAGAAGGAGAAAAGCTAAAAAGAAATTTTCAAGAAACATTTAAAAAATGAATACTGGTGTTTACATTTTGATGATAAGAATATATAGAAGAAATATCAGGTAGTTGTTTTGAAAAATGAAACTAGGGAAGTCAGACTTGCTGTCCTTCAATTGACAAATGGAAAAGGTGAGACAATATTCAATGGAATAAAAACTGTGCTTGACGAATATGAACTATGGCCCTCAATAAAAATGATTGTTTCTGATACAACTGCAGCTAATACTGGAAAAAATCTGGGAGCTGTCACACTGTTGCAGAAGCACTTTGAAAATATTGGATTAGAAAAAGCTGTTTTTATTGGTTGTAAACACCATATTCTGGGTACGATATTGAAACACGTCATGAATGATCATTTTGGGGCAACAACGAATTTACCAAACATTTGTTATTCCTTTATTTCACAAATAAAAGGACACAATGAACAATTGAAGAAATCATTTGATAATACAGGAAAAGAACAGGAGAAAGTAGAACAGGATTTCTGGCGAGATGATATGTCCTTTCTTGATCACTTAATATCATGCTACAGGTATTTCGAAAGTACAGGAAGTTTCCCAAAAGTGCATTTCCGATTACTTCCATCTATCAGTAATGCAAGTAATGAAATTCAAGAGCCATTTATGTTTTGTTTAGTTTCATCCTATTGCCAGAGTTTAGACAAACAACAAAAGTGGCATGTGATTTCATCTGTGGTTCATGGTCAAAAGTCTGGTTCTCTTCTTAGTTCTTCAATCTTGCTGACTTTGATAATTTGTCAGAAGCTTGTAAAGAGTATCCAAAGGCTTTGCGCTCATTGAAGAAGTTTTGGTCAGTGGAGCCTACGCCTATAGCAACCCAGCGTTCAAATATCTGTGCCGAGCGTGCCATTAAAGTAATGCAAGACCTGCTTCCACTCTGCAGATCGACTAAAAAGTTGATTGTTAAATTTCTTTTAAGTAATGAACATTAGAAAAATACTGATATATTTATTTATCGGTGATGTATTGTAAAATGTAAAAATGTTATTGTAAAATGATGCAACTTTTATGTGAATATACTATATGTATATATATTATATCTTAGGCACATCATTTTCTCATTTGGAGGGTAAATTTTTTTTAAGCAAAAAGAAAAATACTTATTCGTTATTTGTACACAAAGCCTCCACTAATTATCATATGGACATATAGGGTTATGAAATTGTCATATTCCTAGTATACATTGTCATATTCCTACACATACATACGCACACATAAATATATATACACATACACACATATCCACACATATATGTATATATATATATGCATAAACACATATACATATATGTATACTTACACATACTTACATATACGCATAAACACACGCACATATACAAGCATACTTACACATATGTCAGAAATTAAGGAATAGCAATTTTATCTGTCATTTAAAAGAGAAATTATACATTACTATAGCTAACAAATTTGGCGTAACAGTCAACAAATAATTCGTGATGTGACACGACCTATTCACAAATGAAACAAAAATATCCACAGTGTAGTTGACTAATGTACTTCAACGAAGCAGGTTAAAACTCTCAAAGCAACTAAGTGTCGCCGCGTATTTGGCGGCCTGGTTCAAGGTTTCGACCAAGGCCCTAGCCAAATATTCGGTTACTATTAGTGGCATCTCTAAAAAAAACCCGAAAGAATAAAACGAGGCATGCGTGCCTCATTTTATTCTTTTATCGGTTTTGTCAAACTTTTTAAATAAGTTGAGTCAAAATTCTCATAACTCAAGTAAGCGAGATTTTTTATTCTTTTTTGCCAGACTTTCTTGTAATTACAGTACCATTTAAATTAATTTAAATATCCGTCTGATTACGTTTTTGTCGATTGTTAAATATGGCTGCACTTCGATATTCTTGTAAGAAGTTAGTCCTTCCATTTTCAAGTAGGCTATTGTCAAGCGGAGAATTGGGCTCCGGTGCTGGAAAGGTAAACTATTTTCTTATGCAAAAATAAATATAGTGCAACTACTAAGAATTTAAAACATAAAAAATTTTGATTCCTGCAATTTGCATTACCTGCAATTTAAGTTTTCTGTCAAATGCTTCCTTGCACTTTAACTCTTTTCCGTATTTGCAGCTCACTCCCAACTTAAGTAGTGGTTAATTGCAGCTTTGTGGGGAGTGAATTTATTACGTATTTGCAGCTCACTCCCAACTTAAGTAGTGGTTAATTGCAGCCTTGTGGGGAGTGAATTGGTTTTCACAAATTGCAAAACAAATTGCAAAATAAATTTTGCAAGTAGTTTTCTCTTTGATAAAATAGACGGAAGATAAAAAATAAATAAAGATAAAGAAGACGGAATCTAGATTCAGCATTATTATTTTAATTGTCATAACAGACAATTAAAAATTTGAAAAAAAGTTTATTCAATAGTTAAGAGCAAAAGAATAAACATTGTGATAACATAACTTTCATTATATTGTCTTGAATATTTTGTTGTAGGTTTTGTTGCATTAAAGTGTGACAAGCTTCTTTACTTTTTTAAACAACAGTTATATTGTAGTCATCAAGTATGAAAATATGCAATCTTTATTTTTGACCAATACTTTATTATATTATTATATATAACAGATAACCTTTTTTTTTTGTTACACATTCAACCACCAATGTGTGTACATCTGCCTAAAATTTTTTCATAGAACAGCCCCTGTATATATACATAAAGCATACATACAATTTTTGAAATCAGAAAAATTAAGTGTTTTTTTTTGTTTTTTTTTGTAGGGTGGTGGCCAAGGAGGAAGTATCAGGTATTTTTATTTCTTTAAATAGTTATACAAGTTGTTAATTTAGAATCTAATGATCATAAGTAAAGTACAAATACCCAAGCCCTTTTTAATGTATTAAAGCTCTTGTTTATGGCTATTTATGTTATGATATTTTTAGTGTCATTTTTTAAGCAGCTAAGTATGTATTTTTTGACATTTACTTTTTATCATGCTTTGATAATTATATCTAATTAATTAATAGGCTCTATTAGTTTTTTCAAAAAAAAAAGCTGCTCAAAGCTCTTGAAGGAAATTGAAGTTATCCTAGCATCCTAGGATCCTAGGTTTATTTAATGATTCCTGTCATCCTAGATTTTTTAAATGAATTAGCTTCATATTTATAGATTTTTAAAGTTTTTAATTTTTAGTAAAGTTCAAAAATATGACCACACAAATAATATTTTGCTTCGAATCATTGACCACAGCTATTAACATTTCAAAAATGTAACAAATAAATAAGATTTTGATTTATACATTAGAAGTTAAAAGAAGTTAAAGTTTTTTTTATTATATTAGCAAAATTTATTCATTTATATTAGCGAAAAAATTTAAAGTAAAGTAACATATTGATGATGATTTTTGTTTAAAAAATCAATGATAGTTGCATATAATTTTTTTTTATTTGTACTATACGAATTATATAGTTATACATTTTTACAATAAATGTTATTTAAAATAAGTCTCTTTAATAAACTTTATTTAAGAATCATTATGTATACTTATTTAAGTTAATATACTCAAAAAAATAAAAAAAAATTCATTGAAATAAATGACAAATGTTTTAGTAAGCCTTTAGAATTAAATAACTTTGATTTTTACTAACGATTTTTTTATTATTTAAATGCTTTTAGTAGTGACAAATAACTGCTAATGATTTATTATATTGGTATTTACATCGGCTGTATTTTGCATTATTTGCATTTTTTAAGTGTAATCTTTGATACAGCAAAAAGGTCTAAATAGTTGGAGTAAAGAGTTTTAAAAAAAGTAACTTCTTGACATTAGAAAAATTGTTTTCATCAACATGGCAAAAGGCCTTAACTTAAAATACATCTAATTGCCATTATAATAAGATTCAACCTATTGCTATATAACTACTGATATATAGCAATAATGAATATATATTTTTTTATGTAATTATTTATTTTATCATAAAAGATTTTTAAATATTTAAGTATATTTCCTTTATTATGTATTACTTTCTGCAAATTAATGTTTAAACAAAGCATTAAATGGTTAAAAAAAGAGTTAAATTCTAAAAACTTTAATATATATATATATATTTTTTTTACATGTGTAGTTACATATATAGCGTGTATTTATATTTAAAAAAAAAAAAAAAACTATAATATAAATTAAACATGTATATTTATTATGCAGTCATTAGAAGTAAGTTATTACTAGATTTAAATAGGTTTTCCATAATCTAAATCATATTCTTTAAACATTAGTAATAATAAAAAAAGTTTATTATTTCAAATATTAATAAAAACTTGATTCAAGTAATCTTAACATTTTTTTTTTTTTTAGTTTTTTTTTTTTTTTGGTCGTGTTATTTTTTGTTTATTATTAGTTAAGTTCTTTTTATTTTCTCTTTTATTAAGATTTTTTTTTTAAATAAAGATTTTATTTTAGCATTTTTTTACTAAGTTTAGATAAGTTTTTTAGGGGGATTTTTGATGTAGTATATGATGCTAAAATTGTAAATATTGTGGCTTAAGCACCAAGTCTTTGGGCTTGGTTTCATTTTGTATTTTTACAACTGTACCATTGTTGTGTCACAAAAAAATTTGACCTTTTTTAAGTATTTATAATGTTATTAGATTTTCCACTTTGGCATATAATAATTATTAAGTTAATTTTATTATTCTCATTTTGAAATATTGCAACTTGATATTCAGTCTAGACTTTGTTTTTATCAAAATGTAGGCTGAGATATTCTGTGCTATTGAAATAATGAATTATTTTCTTTCTTTCTAGTTGATCTTCTTATTCTTGTTTTACTTTGAGTTTTAATTTCAATGCCTTTTTTATTTACCTTTTTACATGTTCTTGCTGATTTATTTGTACTTGAAGCTTCAGTTATTACAAGAGTAGATAATAGTTTTTTTTTTTTCTATGGGTTGTAGATGTCTTTTGAATCATAGATGAAATATATATTTATTAGACATACTAGATGATTTTAAAAACGTGGATAAACGTGGATTATAATATGCTTTAAAATATGCGATCTCGGTTTCTAACCCACAGCCAATTGAGGTTTTGACAAAAGTTGAAAAATTTTACAACTCAACTATTTGTTAGAAAATATAATCAATTTTTTTTGTTTGTTATTAATTCAAAGAAGCTTTTGTTCAAAGAAGGAAAGACTTTGTCTTTCCTTCTTTGAATCAAACCTTCATATACCAAATTCTTAGTGGTAAATATTAAGTTTGTTCTAGAAATTTGTTGTATTGCAATAATTAAATATTAATTTTGCGCATCTACCAGCACTATTGCAGCTGATTAATGCATACATCAGCACTTTTGAATCATGTTGTTATGGAGTGTATTTATCCATTACAAATTTTTTGGGTTTGTTTTTAAATATCGAAAAATAAGTTGCAAAATAAGTGATTAGTTTAAAAACTATTAGTAACAAAAATGTGACTTCTAGAAAATCCTGTGTGTGAATGTGTTTATATATACTGCAATTTTATTATGTTATCACTAGGTAATAAATTTTATCATTTTATCACTAGGTAATAAATTTTTGTTCGCATAAGTCTTGAAAATGTTCACATTCAATTTTCAGAAAACAACGATTTTACATTATATAATTATATATGTCATATATTATAATATAACTAATAAATGATAATTATAATATAGTTAATAGAAAAATATATTATAATATAAAAAATAGAACTTAAAAAAATATATTTTTGTTGTTGCTATAGATAATTATTATACTTGGTTGTATATATTCCAGCATACAAATACAAAATTGTTTGAAGTGCTACTTCATTGATAATTGTATTTAATGTTGTTAAACATAATTTACCTAAGATGGGTCGCATTTTTTTCTTATCACAGAATATTTGCATCAACTTGCTGCTCTAACTCTTAAATAAAAAACATTGAACTAAATTTGATCAGGCTGCTTTTATATTTTTTAGAATTCTAATTAAAAATGCATTAACAGCATTTGCATCATAATAAGGGATGCTGAGTCCCAAAAGGACTCCAGCTTAATATCTTTATTTATTTTTTTATGGTCTTTAATGTCCAGAAGCTCTAAACATGTTAGTATAAACACTAAACATGTTAGTAGTCTATATTCTTTTTTTTATACTTTTACAGCTCCTTGATACCAAAAACTAGAATAAAGTAATCTTTTTGTGACTTTCAAATCCGAAGTCTTTTTTGGGCTCCGCATCCCTGATCATATCATTTGCATCATTATATTGTTATATCATCATTTGCCTGTAATAAGATAATGTTTTTTTTTTCAAAATTTGATTTGAAATTTTTTTCAAATCAAATTTTGAAAAAAAAAACATTCAGATTAAATTTAAAAATTCTGAAATTTTTATTTGCAGACACAATTTCTTCAAGGAACTTTTCTCATGCAAATTTTTTTTTTGTTAAGTTAGTAAAATTCTTTTTTTTTTTTTTTTTTCTCAACATCTTTGCTTTCAACAAGGCTGCAAGCAACCACTATTAGAGTTGGAAGTTACTGGAAAAGATGAAGTTTGTAGAGCAAGATAACGATTGACAGACAACTCAAAAGATTGCAAACTATATGAATCAGGAAAGCAAGATGAAGGATGTGAGTTCCATAGAACTGATGTTCAAGGAAAAAAACTAGATGATGTGATAATGCTTGGAGGTTGGCTGCAAGAGCAGGTCCAACTGTGTGTACAATTCATTTTTGCACCTTGTCTAAAATAGAAAGGGCATGGTTACAATAACTGCCCCAGATATGGCAATAGTATTCCATACAAGGAAGGATTTGAGATTTGTAGATGTAAAGAATAGAATCCGGAGTAAGAAAGTGTCAAGCACAATAAAGAGATGCAACTTTAGCAGATGCTAATTGTGCAATAGATTTGATATATAGTTTCTAAGAAAGATTAAAAGTAAGAGTTAATCCTAGAAGGTGAAGCACAGATGACTCATCGAGTACATTAACATTCATAAATATAGAAAGATCTAAATTATTGTGATAACGATTGGCTGAAAAAAATTGGGTTTTATCTGAATCAGAGTCACCAGCCACTGAGCCCCATGCTTTAGCATAAGTGAGATCCTTTTCAAGCTCAAATGCCCCCTCCAAGCAATCAGAGAGTGTTGGCTTAGCCTGACAAGAAATAATGTTATTATCATCATTGAACAATGCCACCTTTGATGTGAATATATTTGGAAGATTATTAATGTAAGTTCTAAAGAGTATAGGGCCAAGGATAGAACCTTATAGAACCACTGAAGTTACACGATCTAAAAAAGAGTGCTATCTTTTATACTACATTTGCAAAGGAAAAATTCAATAATCTTAAAGATGTTACCAGATACACCGTAAGAAGAAAGCATATGGGTAAGACCAGTATGCCAAACTTTATCAAAAGTTTTAAAAATGTCAAGAGTGATAGCCTTAACCTCTCCACCTTTATCTAATGCATGATAAAACCTATCGGTTATTACTGTTAGCAAATTAGCTGTTGAATGAGTCAATCGAAATCCATATCCATAGAAAGTAAGTAATTACGTTCAAGATGAGATATTAATTATTTGTTAAAACTCAAAAGCCTTGCTTATGATAGGAAGAAGACTAATGGGACGGTAGTTAGACGAGTCAGATCGCTCTCCAGAATTTTTGAAAATAAGGATAACAGATGCCGCTTTCCAGCTGGCTGAAAAGCAAGACTCTGATAAGCACTTGTTTTAAAAGTATAGACGACAGCCGGAGAACACTTCTGCAAAACTACAACAGGTATGTTGTTCGGACCACAAGCTGTAGAAAAGTCTAAGCAGGAAATCACTTTAGTTACAGAAGCCCTTTAGATACGAATGTCAAGCAATGGATCAACCTGTTTGATGGCTATATCAGGTAGAATGCAACTAGTAGAATCAGGAGATGATATTGATGAAAAGTTCTTAGCAAACAATCCTGCATTGTTTTTAGGTGAGGTGACAAAATCTGAACTGTACAAGAGAGGTGAAATAACAGATTTGCCCTTATTATTGATGCTGTTAAAGATTCTCCAGAGGTCACGAGAGCCTAACTTTTGAGATGAAAAATGAGATTTCATGACCTGAGAATAGTGGTCTTTGACGTTAGACAAAAACTTTTTACAATGGTTTCTTGCAGTAATAAAAAGGCGTATGTTTTATGGAGAATTATTTTGCTGATAGACATAAAAGTAACGGTTTCAATTGGAAATTGCAGCAGCACAATGTGAGGTAAACCATGGAGAAGAGTGAGGCTTGACTTGGAATTGTTGAGAGGGAATAAAAGACTGAATCCACAAAGTTATGTAAGAAGCACATTTTTCAGCTTTAGGATGAATGATTTCTACCCAAGGGTCATCAAGAAGAAAATCACAGAAAGAGTCCCAGTCAGCTTTAAGGTATTTGTAAGATGTAGGGGGATTAAGGTATTTGTAAGAAGTAAGGAGATTCTGATAATAGATCAAACCGTGATCAGAAGCACCTAAGGGTGAATGTGGAGAAACTGAGCACTGACTAGAAACAAGACAAAAGTCGAGTAGAGAAGGTAAATGATTTAGTTTGTCTGGAAAGCAAGTTGAAAAGTTGACTATTTGAGTTTGAGAAATGCCTTAACGTTTGTAGAGTCACTGACACTAGAGTCAAGCTATTCAGTGTGATGTGGTGATCACCAATGACAGCGATATTGGCTGATGAATAAAGAGAGAGGGCTTGGTCAATTTGATCAGAAATAACATCGAAAAAAGTGCAGTCTTGAGATAAAGGAGAGCGATACAGAACAAATGAAAAGGTGATATAGTGAAGTGGTGCTAAGCGAAAGCACATTAAAGAATAGTCTATGGATTCAAACCTAGTTTCCTATCATTAAAATTGAAAAATTTTTTTCCGACAAATTGGTATATTCTTACGAATGTAAATACCCAGGCTAAGCATATGACTATTGGAGTCTTACGAAATAAAGGAAGATAACCATCAATACTAAGATTACAAGATGAGACAGCTGAACTCAAATTAGTCTCTCAAAGAGCAAGTGGGTCTGGTGAACTTTGCAAAAGATAAAACTCAACAGAAGAAAAGTTACTTTAAAGACGACAAATATTAGTAAATGATAGGTTTAGAGAAATTGGTGATGAAGTTGGCTTTTTGTGTTTTATAGTTTTAGGTTCTTAATTCATTGTTAAATTTGTTAAAGAACATGACTCAAAGCATAGATAGTACTCAGTACACTATTTAATAGTCCTAGCAATTGCCTGAAAACTATTATTAAACCCTAAGCTGTAACAAAAGGCCTTAAATGTGGCCTTGACAATGCGCGACAAAAGTACGAACAAGGACACCATCCATGCGCAACATGGCACTGTTAATACAGATATTTTTCAGCTGTTGATGAAATCAGCCTCTCTGAGATCTACCACTGAATTCGGGAAACCTGACTACCAGCAGGGCTCAGAACCATAAAGCTGAGTTTTAAAGCTGTACTCTCATTAGGATATTATATAATGAGTTGCCTAGACATAAAAACAGAGACTAAACCCATGCATTGAGTCAAGAAGATCCAGCATTCAAAATCCTAAACTGGAAATAAACTATTAAAAATACATCTGTGCCAGTCTAATAGATAAAAAAGGGGTGCGAGGCTGGTCAACAGTTAGAATTTGTTTACACCATAAGTAATTGCCTTGGAGGCCTTCTACAAGACAGTAGTTGGGTGCATTTAACATCTGCCCAAGGTGAGTATTTTTATCGAGACACTATCTTTAGTCTTCGCCCAACCAAGAGCCCCAAAGGCAGGGGGTGTTTTATGTCGGAGTTAGCTTTTCCTAGTCTTCGTCTAAAAAAGCGTATCCTACAAGGCAGTAGGACATGAAACAGGTTGTACTGGGTTATATGTTACCAGTAGCAGGATTTTACCTGACTTGACTAAAAGACTTTACTCACTCTATTCGTAATCATTTTTATTGAAAATCTCACTTTGATGCTTTGTTAATTCTATAATTTCTCAATTTAAAAAATATATATTTTTAGTTTAAAAATAATCTTTTGTGGGGTTGTAACCATTGATTTGATCTAGTAAATATTCTGAAAAATAAATATTAAATGGAGTTCTGTTATTAATGAAATTTAGTTTAAAAAAATAATAATTTTCAAGTTACATTTATTCTATTCCATAAAATGTGAAAATCATTATTATGTTCACATTTACAAATTAACAATTTACCAAAAAAAAAATGACCAAATGACTTTTTAATAATTGGTATAACAAACTTATTAGAACTTACTTGGTGTTTTAGTTTTATGGGTTTTGAGCAATACCATATCAGGCTTAGACAATGTCATACAGCAACATAATAGATACAGCAACTCCATGTCATGTTTTCATAAAACATAAACAAATTAACAAAAAGCAAAATACAAAAAAAAACAATAGCTAAATGGCTTTTTAATAATTGGAGTAATAATTCAGACTTACTTGATGTTTTACTTTTTTGAACCTTGAGTCATAGCAGTACCATATCACGCTTTTATAATATATAAGATACATCAAAACTATATCAGGCTTTCAAAACTTGTAAGGTTAGTCTTTTTATGATGAAAGCATACAGAACTGTTTCCATATAACTTTTCTCAACAAGTCTTCTGACAATCCTTTTTTTGCTCTTCAACAATGTTCTTTGTTTTCTGGTAACTCCTCACTTAATTATTGGGATTAAACTAGTTGGGACTTTTGGATACAAATGTATAAAAAATAAATGTGTAGGATTGCACAACTCTTACAGATTTTTTTGTCTAAAATACACCTAGTTTATCAGGATGAAGAGCTTTTGAAGGGTCTCTAACTTTATTCTCAAAATTTAAATATGAAGTTTATAAAAATCTTTCAAGTGACGGAATATAAGTTTTTAGAAATATATAATTTTATTTATATTATAATTTAATTATAATATATAATTTTATAATGCTTTTGAATGTGGAGAAAAATCGTTTTTTTTTACAATACTTTTAAAAGATATTAGGAAAATCATTTCAAAAATACAAAGTCACACAATATGAACATTTTAAATGTATATTTAGAGATGCTGGTGGCTCTTTTGGTAAAATGGAGGCTGCACATGAAGAACAGTATTTTAGAAAAATGGTGAGTTTTTTTTCTTGTTTTTACATGTCAAAGTCAAACATGCTTTTAAACAGTCTAATGCCAGTGCACTCAATATAAACTTAAATTGAAACTTTGTATAAAAATATCTAGCTTAAGTTTAAATAAAATAAAATAGATATAAAAAAAATTTTTTTTAATACAACTTCTGATTGTGTTTTTCTGCTTGTGATTTTTTTTACAGAATTTAAGACTTTTATAAAGTCTCTTTTTAAACTTCTTAAGGGTTTTGCTAAGTAGGTTTGCTTCAAATTGTTAAAACCTTTTTTTTTAAAGTCTCTTTTTAAACTTCTTAAGGGTTTTGCTAAGTAGGTTTGCTTCAAATTGTTAAAACCTTAAAAATGCGTATAAAAAATATTTTAAATTTAAATTATTTTGGTAAAAAAGTATATGTTGTTTAGGATAATTTTATTTATTATTTATTTATTTTTTTTCTTTTTATTTTACAAGTTATTGCAGAATTAAGTGACATCGTGACATCAATTTGTCACGGCGTGACAAATCGATGTCACGTTTTGACACATATTTTTAGCTATATTGTAAAAATATTTTTAAAAAGTTATGAAAAGTTTAGTTTTTATAATACAGTTAGGCAGTTAAAATAAATTAATTTAAAACTTAGAAACATTTTTTTAAAGTTATGTAAAACGTTTTCACAAACTACTTCTAATGTTTTTTTTAATAAATGAACAAATTTTATTTAAATTGCTGTTTGTTTAAAATGTGAAATAAAATTATTGAAATAAAAAAATGTATAATATTTTTAAATTGTAAAAACATTTTTTTTGAAAAAGTCCCATAATTTTTTTTTTTCAATATTAACTTAGTCTTTTTAAAATAGTAGTTTCTAATGAATTCACAAGTAAGTCAAGATTAAAAAAAAAACCTTTTTAAACAATTCTCTGGAAAAATAAAAACAAAAAAAATAAAGCATTTAAATCGTTTCATTGCAACAGGAAGATTTTAATTAAACTTATTCACAATTCAAAGTATTTTTAAAAAAGTAATCTTATGAAAGATTTTTAGAAAGACATTAAAAAATAGTTTCAAATGTTTGAATTTATCATAAAAGATTACATGCCTACTAAAAAAAAATTTACGTATTTTTCACAAAATGTGTTTATTTTAAACGATCAATGTAATTAATTTTTTTCTTTTATTTAAAGCCTTCGCATAAAATAAAAATGTTAGAAAAGATCAATTGTTTATTGTTATTCATAACGTAATGATTTTTTTATTGCATTTAAATTGTTAAAACAATAAAACAGCTGTGGTCAATTTTTAAAGAAAAAAATTATTAGCATGGTCAGTTTAAGGGATCGTCCATAAAGTACGTATGCTCGGAGAGGAAGAGGGGGTTTGCAAACTGCGTAAATTAGGGGGGCAATAGGTCAATTATAAAAGTATGGAGACACTAAATTAAGAAAAATATCATAAAATGTTGGGTTGGTATGTTAAAAGAGTAGGCACTTTTAGGAAGGTAGAGGGTACTCAAAAAAGCGTATGGCAAAATGTGGTGGGGGGGTGTCAAAAAAAAAGCATACATACTTTACGGACGACCCATAAGTGGAATTTAAACCTATTTGATGAAGAACTATTCAAGTAGGTTCAGCTAGCTCATGGTATTCTTTTTTTATATTTCTGTCCTAAAAGGTTTCAGATATATTTTAAATTTGTAACAGTTGTTACTTTTTAAAAGTTAATTAGAATTAATAGGAACAAAAGGAATAAAAATAAGAATACTTTTTGAAGATCTTTAAACTGATCACATTATGGCAAAACTGAACAGCAGCTAATTTTTGATTATATATCCATGTTCCAGGTGGTATTACTATTCTTTTAATTTCCTTAGTTTCATTTATACTATTCCTGTTTTGTTGAAGAACATTGAATAATTTGTTTTCTGGACCAGAAATTTTGCTGCTTGGGTTTTGAGAAATTGGCTATGTGTTGCTCAATTACATGATGTCTATATGCAATCAACTATAATGGGCGTTGAACTTGTTGAATTAATCATGCAAATACCTTGCCATAAGTCATGCAAATATAATGCATAAATAAGTCATGCAAATACCTTGCCATTTTTCTGTATTTGCTGAAGTTGTGTCAAAACAGAGACATTTAACCTTATCTTTTAATCCATCAATTCTATAAAAGCTTGCTTTTGAATAGCCCTTGAACTAGAATCTATTAGAGGAATGCCAAGTAAATATGTTTTCTCATCAATCCTTACCAAAACTCCAATTCTATCTTTTGTAAATTGCTTTTCCTCAGTTAATTCATCAACTATTTTTCTGCTAAACTGTATAGTCAATAGTAAATCTAATGATATTACTTTGTTATTGATGATGTTTTTTATGTATTCTCTTATTTCTTTAGCCCTGACAAGTGTTATGTTCTCTGCAGCTCTATAAGATGTAAATTTAAAATAATTAGAGTTTGCTATAGAACCACCAGCCATGTCAATAACAATACTAATCAATGCAGTATGTGTGTGGGCTGTTCTTTTTTCCTTCTCCCACTGCTGTGACTGAAAGATATTTTCAGGAAGAATAAACAGAATTTTGAACATTAGGATGCTCATTAATATCAAATTCAATATCTGTTTCCTAACTTAATTCATCGCTAGTTTAACTAGCAGAATTTAGATAATCTAAATCATTCTTCTACAACTCTGCTGACTGATTTTAATTTATCATTAAATTGTTTCTTTTACTTCCTACTACAGAATACTCATATCTTTTATCTTTTTACCTCCAAGACTTTTCTTTCACTATGCTATGCAAGGAAGAAGATATTGCTTTAAGAAAGTAGTATCTTTTTCCTTGTCTTTCACTTTTCTCATTTCATTTTTAATGAATAAAGTATTTTGGATTATCCTCATAACATGTGAATAAAGTAGGATGCTATGAGGATGTCTAAATCCGTAGCATCCTCATAACATGAGGATGTTATGAGGATGTCCAAAATGGTTAAAATGATTTAGAACTTATTGAAAAAATTACTTTAGCTTTTGTATTGTAAGCACTCTAAATCCACCAAGGAACCATAAGTTTGGACAGTATGCAGCAGTCAGGCTGGTCAATTGTTCAATTGGGTATAGAAAAAAAAATTTGTAAAAATATTTTTATTTTTTAAATATTTATGAACTGTAGGGTTTTTTGAAACATATTTTATAAGTTATTTATTTATTTTTTTTGAGTGAAGAGTTTGATAAGTTGATAAGTGATAAGTTATTTATTTATTTTTTTTGAGTGAAGAAAAATTGAATATAAAAAAAATCATTAAATATAAAAAAAATTTTATGTCAAGACTTCCTACAAACTTCCTATATGCTAAGGCTTTTTTTTTTCAGACTTGATCCTTTTTGAATCACAAAATCCTTTTTGAATCACAAAATATATATATACATTGAGGGTATGGCTTTTTTGTGACCTTGGTCATATATTGATGAATATTTATACAAGCGGAATGAAAAAAACAACTGTTTAATTATTATTTTTTATTTAAAAAAAAAGATCACCCACAAACCAAAAATTTGAATTTGTCATATATATGCGTATGGATTTCAAACATGATATGTAATTTCAAACAATTTTTTGTTTTTTATTTTACAATTCTAATTTTTTTTTAAATGGAGATTTATTACATAGTTTTTAAGCATTTCACAATTTATTGTTACTTCATAACACTCTAAAGTACAAGTAAATTTAAAATTACAAACTTAAATAACAATTTACAAATATGAAAAGCTACCCCATATGCAGAAAAAGTATTGTGTAGTATTCAGCTTAATTAAAGCGTAATATACAATTTTTTGCTTGCTAGTCAAAATAAATCCAAGCTGGAGGCTCTCTTTTTTTTTCCGCAAATGTCAAAAAGATCTTAAAGACACTTGATTGCTCGCTCTGCACTCTGGTTTGTTCTGTGAATTTTCAGCCTCGTTGGTTCCTGATCTAAAACTTTTTCAATGAGCTTAATACTTTTTTGTGACCATGCAAGCTGCTACATAGATTCCGTTAATCATCTGCATTGTACATTTGGTCAGTGAACCAATGTTCCACCCATCTGTAAGAGATGAATCTACAAATAACATGTAGTGAGTCTCTTGTAGAAGACAAATGAGCTAGTATTGCTCAGGAATTTCATCTTGCAATATTTAATTTAGGTATTTTCTGAAACTTTAGGAAATACTTCAGATTCTTTAAAAAGGCAGAATACCCGATTTAAATGAAATAGAAATTTCATATTATCACACCATCCTGCTGTTTCAATAATCACTCACTTATTTAGTATTCTTGAAATTCTTCCTGAGCTGTTCCCAGATCTTTACAAGTTTTTGGATAAACGTCCTGGCAACATGTTGTTTCCTCCAAGTTCTTTATCCATTACCATGTGAAGGACTCATCAAAAACATGTTGACAACCAACGAATTGTGGTTCTTCCAGGTTTTTTTTCAGTAAAACGTCTTTGTAACTGACTGACAATACTATTCTTTCTTCCAGTGTTTACATTTGTATTCAGCTTAATTAAAGCGTAATATACAATTTTTTGCTTGCTAGTCAAAATAAATCCAAGCTGGAGGCTCTCTTTTTTTTCCGCAAATGTCAAAAAGATCTTAAAGACACTTGATTGCTCGCTTTGCACTCTGGTTTGTTCTGTGAATTTTCAGCCTCGTTGGTTCCTTATCTAAAACTTTTTCAATGAGCTTAATACTTTTTTGTGACCATGCAAGCTGCTACATAGATTCCGTTAATCATCTGCATTGTACATTTAGTCAGTGAACCAATGGTCCACCCATCTGTAAGAGATGAATCTACAAATAACATGTAGTCTCTTGTAGAAGAATAAATGCCAAATGAGCTAGTATTGCTCAAGAATTTCATCTTGCAATATTTAATTTAGGTATTTTCTTAAACTTTAGGAAATACTTCAGATTCTTTAAAAAGGCAGAATACCCGATTTAAATGAAATAGAAATTT